CAGCCGCCTCAGAAAAAGGCCTTGAAGAGTCGTCGGTCTTTTTACCCGAAATAGCTGAATGGCAGTGTTACGGAACTGGTTTCCAGGGTTTCTGAAAGCACCCAAAACAATGCTAGCACCCCTGCGATCCACTGCCCAGTGCTGCGACTGGATGCCTGACACATCTCATTGACCGACAAGATGTGTGGGAGCCGCCGCTCTGCACAGAAGCCGGCGCTCCGGGACCGCGTTTACCGGGCACCTGTGCTGTCCTGCCCGCACGTGCCTGTCTCTGACCGTCTTCGGGAGGAAGCCTGAAGCCGTGGAACCTCCTGAGCGATTGCTATGGAGACATTCGTCGACAAATTCTGATCCGGCAGGCCGTGAAGTGGCAGGATACATTGGCGTAACAGGAAAAGGAGACTGACCAAGGAGCCAGGCTTTGTAGCATGGTTTTAATAACAGAAGACAGCCTATGAATATCAACCACTTAATCACTTGAAAACATTAAATTCACAACCACAGAGCATTTTGTCCGATTCTTTGTTAGTGAAAGAGGCTGCTTTTCTATAAAAACGATATTGCTTTATCGCTACTACAGTTTTTTTCTAGTTCAATCATTCATGAAAACAAGGGCTTATATAACCCATTCAGCAACCTTTGTGTCACATCTTTTAATTATTGTAAAGCACATGCAAAACTTTTGTGCACCCACGCAGCTACAAAATACATGAATCACTTTAGCGTGCAGTTTCTTATCTAGTTCTAGTACAGACCTTTTCAAAAATACCCATTTTTTCCAAGCAAGCGTTACATCAAAAGGGGCCATCTTAGAGGAAGTTCCCAATTCGAGAGACACCCATGAAGTGAAAAATCTGCAACGCGCCATGGTGTGAGAAGAGGCTGGGATAAGGAAACAGTTTGCTTTTTTCCAGGTGTTTTGATGCACCCCTTACTGCCGCCACGCCACAGGGATGCAGGGACAACTCTGCCTCAGAGCCAGCTGGGAGACAAGGTACCACGGCGAGCACCCAGCGCGGCCCGGCGAAGCACCCCCAGCCTCCTCCCCGCCTCAGGGCCTGACCGACCTCCCCTCGGGCCCGGCGCGGTCCGGCCCCGGCCCGGTCCCAGTCCCCGGACCGTCGACCCCCGCCTCCCGCCCAGACGTGGCTC